TCGAAACAGATTTTTGAAATTTTTCTGCATTTGAAGGCATTTCTTTCACGATTCTAAAAAACTAATGTTCATCTCTAGAAGGCTAGAGAGGAAACAAAAGTTCATGATGCCGTATCTGAACAAAGGGCAGGTTAAAAACGAATATTTTCAGGGAATAGTTTGTGTATGAAATACTAAATTTGTAAGGTTTTATTCCGACAGTGTAATTACAGTCAGCTGATGAACCTAGACTGCCTAAAATCTTCAGCTGATACAACATTAAAAGCACCAAACTGCCACAACATGTAGCACTTTTGTGCCTTTAATCAAAATATTATTTTATAACTTGCTTTAACCTGGTTAATTCAGATTTCGATACTTGATTAAAAATCTTTACTGCTGGGAGATTAAAAGGGAACTTTTGTCAAAGATGCGAGTACCATTATTATTCCTTTCGGACTGTCTGTTGTTCAGCGGTAAAAACCTTTGACAGTTAACACTGGTATGAAAACGTTGTTTGCAGTCATTCTCACCAGTCTTTTCGAAGTGTCTTTTGCTAATGTTGCAGGGACGTATCGTTCTGAGAAGATGGAGGACTTGCATGAAACTTGGTAAAAATTTGCCAATTGAATTGAGGTCATCCAGAATTTCTGAATATAAAAAATGAAAGTAAGCTGTTGAGAAAAATATCACGTTTTAGTGCGGCACACTGAAACAAAACGACATTTCTCGCAATTATTCCTTGTGTGTCTCGGGAACTTGTCAAGTAATTGCCCTTTTTTTTCTCATCTTACAGTACTGCGTCAAATTAAAGCTTCAGTTGGGAATGTAACTCATATTTGCTTTTCCACAATACTGTTCTACCAAGAGGGCTTGCTAGGTGCTACCTATGAACGTTATTTACGCTGAAAGTTCTTCATATTTTTAGCGCAAAGCTTCTCATCAATGTATTTTGGGGCTTATTATGACTGGCTCCATTTTAGTTTAGTATCTATAACTTTATCGAATTACAGCGATTGTCTGATTAAGGACAGTGGGTTACTTCTTAAAGAACAAAGCTTTACAAACAGACAATATTTTAGCTTCGCGAAAGCAATAAAACTAGTCGTCTGTTGATTCTCAGCAAAGATTAAGCTGTTTTAGCTGTTGATATTTCATTTTTTCAGTTACGCTCGTTCATTTTGAAGAGATCATTAAAATAGGTATTACTACTGAAACTACAGAAGGCTTTCTAATTACCGATAACAGTGCACTAAAACTGCTACCACTATCAAAAATACCGAACGTTTTGCCGTGGCAGATGACGGAAAAGATAAGCTTTTAGAAAATCCAAAATTTTTAGCTAGCCCAGCTCTATTTTAAAAAGTAAAACATGACTTTTGAAGGCAGTTAAAGTAGACCTGTTCGTACCACACAAATATCTGTCATAAGCGATACGCCATTGGCTTGAAAGCAAAAGTACTTTCTGTTTCCGCGTAATATCCCCACTGCTATAAGAAAAACCGTTTTTCCTTTATTCTTTTTCAACCCCCCGCTTTTTTTGCTTATAACGTAGCACAGCCTTCGTTGGGTTTTCTTATTTAGGTCAGAAGTTCACAATAATCGTGGAAGCATGGTTTTTATCGTGATTTTTCCAAAACTGCCGAAGCGACGCTGACAGAGTGACATTTTTTTAATATTTGCCTTTCTGTTCCAATTTCTGCTGAACCTCTGAACAAGTAGATAAAACCGTTTACTAATGATTCCATTTGAATGTTACGTGGTAGACTTAATTTTGTTCGCTGACATAAGCTGGTGCTAAATATAAGTTAATAAGAACGGCTACTGATAAGAACTGTCATGATTGGAAGTTTAACCTTGCAGCATGTGACAACATTCCCTTGACAATTTTAAAAATAGCTTTTCAGTACTTGACCTCCGCGATTGAAAAGGAAGAGGGCCGCAAAATTTGCAACGGACTTTCATTTCCAATCGTTCGAACAATTATATAGTTTCTTGCTTGAAAACAGGAGGCGCTCGGTTACAGGCAATAAAGAGACGATCTGCTGTGATAATTCCAAATACAAAAAAAATTACGGGTAGATACAGAATAGACATCAGAATTGCAGTTAATACTGAATATGTTTGACCTTGAAACCCTGCTCGATTGCAGTGGTGTTAGTGGAGAGTGGTGTGAGGCGAAGCATATTCGGTTTTGATCGAAGTTTTTTACTGCTGGTGCTAGGGTGCTAGTTGAACAAATTGTACGATAAATTTTTATAGCTAAAACCGGCGCTCACATAGGCTAGAGTCCTCCTGCAATGGATGAAAAGAGCAGTTATACGCGAAGCAGTAAGTGCGATTATACATTAAGAGGTTTGGTGTTTTGTTTTGCTCTGTTGCCTCCTTTTTTCTTTCTTATGAAAACTGAAACCCGGAAGAGCTTTGCAGCCTTGGTATTTATATGAAAACTGACACTCGGAAGATACTTCCTCCCCCCACCTTCTCTCTCCTCCCTGCTTTAAAATATATATGAAAACAACTGTCAGTGTCCTTACTGTACTGTTACTTTGCTACACGCTTATCGACAGCCTTCTTAAAATTGCAAAATTGTCTCGGACGAAAATGTCTGTAGATCCGTCACTGTCTACAATGCAATGTACAACTAGCTGAAAATCGCTCAAATCAAACAAATTTCGACGTAGCTGGTTCAGTGGCAATGCCAAATCCCAAGTTGGAAAGGTCCGGGGCTGAGGTAGGAAACTTTTCTGCAACTTTGCGTGGCAGGTGCTGTTTTGGTATTCTTTTGTTCAGGAATTGTTATTACAGTCCTTTTTTTTTCCAGCGGATGAAGCGATTAGTTTGTGGAAGGGTAGGAGGCCTCTTGGGTGTATGCCTGAACTTCAGGAAACAAATGGTAGCGAGTAGTGAGAGCAATGTTTTTTCTTTTTTTGCATGATGATGGTGAAACTGTTAGGAGATTGCTGCGATCAAAGTGGGAAGCTCTTCCATACCCGCCAAACTCCTGAGGGGTAGAGCCATTGATATTATCGCTTATTCAGATCAGTGCAGCTTGTTTTAATAGGCACAGGGCTTATTTATAGGTTTCCGGTTGCGAAAGCGCGTCAATGAATGAATCGCTCTGAAACTAGTAGCATATTCACCGCTACGACATTGCAGACTTGTCGAGAAATTGCAGGTTGTTGCAAACGTTGGAAAATTCTTTGATCAGAATATCTTGTACCAGCTTTACGCAAAAAATGCTTTTTTCTGGTGAAAAGAATGTTCAATTTACGTTCCCCTCCTGATAGAAACACTGATTGTTTCATTTGTTCCGGTGCCACTTGGCATTTTTACTTTTATTCTTCTGGTTATAGTCACGAGTAACGTGCGCCCGATATCCTTTTATGGACCGGTTTTCAACAGAAAGCTTCGACCTGTTTTTTTAGATAGTTGAACTGCCTGTAAATTATGTTTGTTGGTATCAGCAGAGCTCACAGCGCTTTTCCCGCACTATCTTTGGAAGAAGCTTCAAATGGCCAAATGGAGGCTGGATCATTGAAAAACAACAAGTTCGGAACATTTTAACTCTGCTTCTCACCCTTTTCAGCTTTCTTACGTAGTAGATGCTCCTCTTCAATTCTTCGCCATCGTTTCTATCAAAAAACAGTGGGGATTTAATGTCCTGCAGGTCCGCAGCGATACTATGCAAGTAATTTTTAAATCTATGATGTACTGCTCAGGTACAAAAGTCAATAATGACGGTATATATGGGGGCCAAATTTTCCCAGAATGATAGTCACGACTGCCGATTATGTCATCTATAACGATGCCAGTTTAGCAGGAACAGCTTTCTTTGTTGCTACTTTTGAGCTTCCCTAACCTACAACTCTGGTCGCTGCTCAAACACGGACTAAAAAACTACAGTTGTCATTCAGCTGCAAGACTGTCTGTTAGAATTATCTCCGTAAGATGGTAACCGCGTTTTGCTTTACATGGTCGTTTCATTTAAAAAAAACTGACTAACCATGACGCAAGGCTACAACTGCAAGTTCTGAGCGACCTGAAAGTTGCAGTACTTTATCAAAATTCACTAGTCAAATCGCTGTTAATGTACTCTTAAACAAGCTTCAGGGCCATTCAGATCTATTTTATTCCCCATTCAGCGAAATAAACTGAAGTGAAAAATACTTCATAGCTGAAGAAACTAGAAACTGCTGACCAGCAGTCGTTTGTCGTTAAATGGCACATTAACTTTGCAATTTCAAACTGGGATTCCCCGTTAACCCTCCTGTTACTTTATGCAACAACATACGTTGTCTTTCTGAACTGGAAATGAACAAAAATACTTGCTTTTAATTTAGACTTTACTGTCAGTTTTCTTGTTGAGCAGAAACTCTTGTTCGAGAAAGGAAAACAAATAAACAAACAAACAAAAAAACTCATCACTGCAACACATACCTGATCACAGAAAATGGAAAATAGAAATTTAGCAAAATTTGCAACCTATGACAGGACTTAAAATCTTTCAGCATTATCGTATAAATACAAACAAATATCAATAAAATCATCAGCAACATAAATTAACACCACTTAAAATCTCTTTAAAGCCGTTGAAACACAATTATAAAGGCACCCAAAACAACAATAAATAATTAAGTCAAATTTTTGCAAGTTCACTAACAGCAATATTGAACGAATAAAAGACTTGAACACTGAAGGCAACACGTTGATTTGAGAAATAAATGAAAAAATCTTGATTCTTAATCTGAATAATATCCGTTTCCGTAGTCGTAAAACTCAAATTTTATAAATTACACCAACACGCAACCGCAAAAAGCGCCAAAAAGTGTTAGGAACTAAAGGTTATTAATGTATTTTTTAAATCGCACACAAAAATTGCGCGATGAGCTCAATTAAATTAATAAAAGGAATAAACTCTTAATATCAATCTCTTTAAAAATGACTAAATAAAATATACAATTTCTTACAAAATAATACAAGTGATTAGAGACATCCGAATCAAATTCGTTTTGCAGAATTTAGCTAGAAGAATTAATTGAACGTTTTACTACAATTTCAACTGGATTAGCTGCTCCTTTTAAAAGCTCCACGACAGCACCAGGACTACAACCCGCAACTGATCGTCCATTGACTTCCCAAATCTTATCTCCGACCAAAAGAGTTCCATCAAGATCTGCCGCGCTACCACTGCCAATCATACGAATAAAAATGCCTTAAATAATGACAGTTCAGGGATCAAGATCACAGATGAAGAAGAAATACATAAAAAGTTTACCCCCGAATTGAACAAAAGAAAAACGTACCGTCGTAACCTGTTTTTTTGGCAAGACTTAAACCTAGCGAGCCGTTAGACGACTTTTCAAGAACCACTCGGATCGTCTTTTCTGTAACATCTTCAGAATGAAGGTAACCATTCTCTTCAAAATGTTGCAATACCAAAAGAACACTTTCTCCTCCATTCCTCAATAAATCAACAACTTGCTGGTGAGTCAAATTCTCTGTCTTCTTACCATTCACCTAAAAACGGCACTTCATGAAAAACAATAACTAAAGAAAGAGAGGATGGCTGCCGATAAGAAAAAGCGGGAATACAGTATGACTACTTAAAAATATAAGAAATTTACTTATTCTCCCGTAAAATACGTTTCGAAATATATGTACTGTTTCCATACCTGAATTAAACGGTCTCCGACTTTCACTTCTGGATGAGACAGTGCCGGATTTGCCGTGAGCTGTTTGATATACACAGATCCACCGCTTGAGGCTATTTGAACGCCCAGGCTTCCTGCTTCATTTCGCTGAAGCTGAACAAGTACTGCTTTAGAAGAATCACCCGAACCGCTTACATCACCAGACCAATCAAACTCTTTCTGCCTACAACAAGTAAATATGAAAAATAGTCTTCACTAAGTCCTCAATTCACCAACAAAAATGAGTTGAAAATACAATTAAACATGTATGCTAAACCTTGAAACTAAATTTCTAGTAGGCGATTCCGTGTCTTGGCTGCTCCTCTCTGCGCTATTTAGGCGATCACGATTTGACTTAAAAAAAAGAGATGATTCGTCGGAGGGGGATGAGGTCACTCTTGGAGATGGAGTTTTGAGTAAAGCATTTTCTTCATCTACCGAATCGAATTTATAAATCGCAGATGCAGGTAATCGAAATAGGTCTCTTCCTTCGTCTTCTTCACTTCGAAAACGCTCTAGCGGCTTGAGCCTTAAACCTTTTTTAGAAAAACTGGTTCTTCAAAACTAGTATAAATGTTCTCTAATTTCGAAGAAAAAATTTGGAGAAAAAATACACTGAAATTAAAGCTGTAAGGTGCTGCAAAAATCAACCTTGAGTTGTTCCTGATGTTAGCAATGACATCTTCGCTCTTAAGGTCAGGTAAAGTGTCTCCAACAGCCCCGAAATCACTTACTGCCCGAACTCTCTTTTTTAAGGCGTTAACATTCTTACGGGCCAAAGGAGGAGTACGGGATCGTGTTGCTACACCTGGAAAAACATTTCACTAAATTTTTTTTTGAAAAAATATGTTCATTTGTACTTGAAAAGGAAAAAAGTAGAACAATGTTCCACTGGGATTCAATCTAAAAAAGCACTTTAATCACCTAATCAAAAGGCAGTGACAAAAAAAGACCAAAAATTTACCATTTGAGGTTGCAGAAGCCGACCTTATATGAGAAGGACTGTTTTCTGTCTTTTTTTTGTTGGGCATTAGTGCACTTGATACTGATTCTAGCCTAAAACGAGTAAAAAGTACAAAGAGATAAAGCAGTTATTGATAAACGAAACGTAAACTGGAAAAGCGGTAAAAAAAAGAGTTAAATGAAGTTATGACTAGACAGAAATTAATGTTACTGATATTCAAAAAATAAACCTGAAAATTTCTAATCTGACGGTCGTTCCACTTTTCCTTACTAATTCCACTGTCTCATGACGATCTTTGCCAATAAGTGAAACACCATTAACACTCAACAGGCGATCCCCTCCAGTGATCCCCTATTATAAAACAAAGATTGGAAACCTTTTGAAAAATTTTATACGCAAAATTTATATAATGGAAATTTGAAGCAGTAAAGTCAACGGCTGCGTCTGAGCTTGAAACCATTGTCAGTTTGTAGACGAAATAACCAACTCATAATCACTCGTCTACAAGTCAATGCACTATTAAAAAAATAAAAAACTTACGTTCTTTTTGCCGGGACCTCTCTCAGCAACTGCTTTCACATAAACACCCTTGACACCATTCAAGTTTCCGTCAACCAGCGTTAAACCTAAACCCAAATTATGATCCTTCTCCAGAACGACTTCGAATTTCCTCCCATCCTCACTGTCTAGGGACTCTTCGGCGGAAGCTTCTTCCAAACGATCACATAAGCTAGCTAAAAATCTTTAAAAATATATCTTCATATACATATTACGGAAATCTGACAAGGAGATGCTTCCCGCAGTACCATTCATCGTCTCATTATTGTTAGGTTCTGATATGCGATCTTGGGAAGCAAGAGACATGTCAATGATTTGCTCACGAGGTTTCATTTCATCCACTTTCTCACTCGTATCAGTAGTGTTCTTTGCAACGCTGTCATCTTTAGATGCAGAAAAACTGTCATCATTTACTCCTTTGATGGACTGCGAAGCAATACGAGACTGAAATACAATACAACTATGCTGAAAAAATATAACAAAGAATTCTGCTGTTTTTTTTTTTTTTTTTTAATTTGAGCTCCATCAAAAAAAACTAAAAAAGATTCAGGCATTAGAAACGAAAATACTGCCTGAGACCACAGATTTTTCAGTAACATAACAATTCACATAACTAAAGCATTTTATAAAGAAATATCATATTAACAAAAAACCTCCCGTTTCACCTAAACTTTTTACCACTGAAAAATTATTTTTTAACCGCTATTTGAATCAAATATTTACTGTATCGCTTTATCCCCGACACAAGAACCGACTAAAATGAAAACTTAGCTGCACTGACAAAAAACTAATAGAATATAAAAAGAATTTCTCTCACTTCTTTGACAGACGACTTGCCAGATACCGTGCTAGTCCCTTCAGCCCCAACATCTGGGATATTTCGATTTCTTAAAGTTCCTTCATTTTGAAGAGTTTGGCTCCAATGCCTCATTTTCATCATAAACCGATGTTGTGACGCAGCAAAGCGGACAAAGTAAGCACTTCTAAACAAAAAGTTATAACGTCCAAGAAACGTAAAAGCCTATTTTTAATTTTAATTGGGTAAAACTACCAAAAAACATCAGCGCTGTGACAGAGTTTTTCTTTCAACCCTAAATAAATTCCAACTCTAAATTCCAAAGACTGTTATTTAACAAAAAAAGAAATACTGAAAACATACTTCGTGTAGTGGTCCGTATAAAAAACACTACGTGCTGGTTTGTGTACGTCAGAAACAATCACAAACTGTTTTTTGTCAAACTGCAGTGTTTGCGTATCTTGCCACAGATGTTGTACAGTTGAACGTCTTCCACCGCTAAAAATCAGTAGAACGAATAGAATTATAAGTCTCGAAAGTTATGATCAGCCATTAAGAGGCGGACCAGCCAATACCAGCAAATCAGATAAGTCGATAATAAGTAAAAACTTACCGCTGTTCTTCGTACTGTACAATTCCTCGAGGCATTATAGCAATCCACTGGGCGGTTCCAGTTTCTGGGTCTCCAAGAGGTGTATTACCAAGATTGCTGGAGGGCTTTGATCTAAATACTCGGTGAAAATGTGCACCATAATCAGGCAGTCTTAGGCAGACCTAAATTGTTGGGCATAGCTTAAAGTGTGTGCAAAATACTTTGTCACTTGGCCTTAACTTGAAAAAGGAATCACGTTGAAAAACTCACGTCTATAAATCGACTTCGCGCTTCCTCATTGCTCATACCCTTACAGCGTCCATGTAATTCGCTAAGAGAATTCCTTATCTGCTGTTCATCACTAGATCCAATATAACGCTAAAACAAAAAAAAATTATTCAAAAACCTCTAAACTCTTTACGACAGTAAGCTGAAAAACGAAAACGAAACAGCCAACATAAAAACCTCTGAAACTCGTTCTCATAAAAAGTACATAAATGAAAGAAAACTTAATTTCTCTCTAGTCACTTGATGTAATTCCAAATTTTCCATCCTTAACTGAACTTCAAAAGAAATGTAAGATTAGTAAAAAACAGTTTACTCGAGGCAAGTAGTGTTCAAGGAGAAAATAATCCACTGTTTGAGGTACAACTTTGTCACCAAACTCAGCCTGTAATGCCAATGCCGCCAACTCATGTCCAATTTCTTCGGCAGGTTGTAACCAATCTTCCAATATATCCCTACGTAACTGAAGATATAACTCGTGCAGCACTACCTCAGTTCTGAAAATTGTAAACGGATGAAATACACCTAAAATGCGAAACCCTGGAGTAATTGTTAATTACAACTGTACCCAATAAACTGTACAGAAGCGGGATAATATCGAAAACGCAGATGTAAAGTATAAGCTTTCGATGAATAACCATGCTGTCGCCCACTTTTCCACCCTGTTGGTGCAAATTTTTCAATTTTTTGATTGTCGTCAAAAAAGAAGTGCTCTCCATCTAAACAACTTTTAATAAAAATTGTTTCTAAAATACTACTATCGATAAAACTGTGAAAGTGAATAACATAGAAAAAGCAGCTTTTGCAACTAAAATAAATGAGCAGAAAATAAATCTCGGGCCTTAAAAACTACAGACCTCGTATAACTGTGAGGCCAAAAAAGATATTCTCATTGAAATTGACATGTCGCATAACAACGTCAGCGATCTCCGCTGCCACAGCATCTGAGCGACAGTTTACTTCAACACGTTTTCCATTTAATAACTCCACAACAACGACCGTCTGCTCAACCCTGTGTAGAGTGACCTTTTTCTAAAGAAAAATCAATTTTTGATTCGAAAAGCACAAATTTACAAATACTCGTTTTAAAAAACTCAGAAATAATTTGAAAGGTAATTGTAATTTGTGAAGAAAATTAAACTTGGAGAAACTTCACCTTCCGCATAGCTGGCGCTTTCAGACGTACAAGAGGAGCATTCATGTTGGCAACAAATTCTGGTTCAGCTTTAGACTGTAAATCAAAATCGTATATAAAGAATCTCAGCACGAAAAAAAACACATTTTAAAGGCTATAAAAACAAAAAAAAAAACAACAGTTTTTTAAAAAACAAACAATTACCTTCTTTCTGGCGTGCCGTAATGACGGTTTTCTGCCGCTTATGCGACTAGGCACAAGTGAGTTGCGCCGAACAAACTGTTGCGTGGCTAAAATAATTTATACACAATTTAACAATCCAAACAAATTTTATAACTTTTTAATCTTTGCAGGGGATCGCTGAAGTTTGACAAGTTAACTTAGATTTAAGCAAGTGCAATTAATTCATATTCCAAAACAACTCTCGTAGAGAAATATAGCTATATTTAATTACTGTATTTCTAGAAGTTTTTAATCAGAATTTCTGGAAACTTCAAGAGAACTAAATAAAAGAGCACGAGAAGCAAAACTGACCGCTACTTTTCACTTCAAAAAAAAATGTCCTTTGACTAGAAATTCAATGTTAAAAAAAAAACCCAGCCTTACAGCTGTGAAAGACTATAATTTTAATCAAATTTATAAAAGAAAAAACGATGACTAATATCAATATGTTACACTCAAAAATCACCTCCGACAAGACAAGCTAACATCGATCAAAACTCTTAATAAAGCATTTGTAAGAACTTAGCGAGCGATGACCCAGTTTAGTGTGAAACCAAAAAAAGCACAAATAAATATTGAAAAAAGCTGAAATTTCCTAAAAATGATGTTATTGTTGATCTAAAATGAAGCCTTGCAGTGATAAATGCATGAAAATTAAGAGATGACAAAAAACTGTTAAAAATAAAAAAAGAATTTATTTCCTACCCTTTAAAAATTGCTTAAAAATTTAGGTAAGAACCGAAGATTAGACCATTTTCTTAAGAATAATGAGCAGTACCCTATAATTCCCAAATAATAACTACAAATGGACTAAACCAGAAAAAATTGAAATTAAAAGCAGGTGATCATGAACCAGTCGATGCTGCACTACTGGTATTAGAGAAAGTCCAATTAAGACACTTAAGGACCAAACAGTAATGTTGATAGGCAACTGGGCCGGCAGAACCGAATATGCACAAGACAGTTAGGAGAATAAATTTGCGCAATCGACTTGACAAAACAAATGGAAATGTCATTTACGATTAAAGCAAATATTATATGAGAACAATAAAATTAAACACTGTTTAAACAATAAAAAGAAAGCTTGAGTAAGAAATACTAACTAGACAAATCTTTTTTCTATGTGGAAATTATGAGTTCAGAAAAAATAAAACAAAAGTAATAAAAAAAATACTATATAAAATATTCTTTAAAAAAGACTAAAACAGCCTGAAAAACTTACTAGAGGAGGAGGGAACATCATCAGTCACCTCATTTTTTTCTGCTTCTTTGACGGGATGTTCGTCGTGATCCGTACGCATAGATGGCTGATTCTACAACAAAACAACATCAAAAGTTTCCCCAATACAATAAAATACCTCAAAATGCATAAAAATTGCAAAATTTCTTGGAACCAAAAAACTTGTGTTAAAAAGCTAGCTAAATCTATTCAGAAAAAATATTCACAAATTTTTTACGCTAAAGATTATGATCTTATACTTTTAATGACCAGATTTTTAATTCAACAGCTTGAGACTTTCATATTAGGATTTCTGGAAAAAACTAAAAGAAATGTTCGGTTTTGGATTGTGACATGGCAATCTTCTTTGTATTTAAAAGATACCTTTTCAACAACCACTGCTTCTACGTGAGAGGAATCAGGTTCATTTTCTTTGTCGCTCTTCGAGATTTCACTTTCAAAAGATTCTCTTTTAGGTGGAACCCTCTTCTCAAAGCTTGTATTTTTCTCGAACAAACGTTGTTTTGGGGCAACAGAAGGCTAAAACCCCATGTTTAAAGAAGTTGAGGTATTATAAAACTTAAAAACCTTACTATGCTTGAACTTTCTGGGCTTCCTGCTACAACAGCTTCAGTAACTTCATTTTCCTCTAGAGAAGACAGATCTGAAGACGTTGGTTCGCTTACAGGTTGCTCCACTGCCTGAAAAATGATACTAAGATTGAAACGACAAGAAAAAAGTTTTCGAAAACTGCAGTAGAAGTTCTTTAAACCTTGTCGACTTGTTCGTTTGTCTCTTTTATTGGTGAAAGAGGCCCCTCAGGTATAACATGGCTACTTTGAGGTAGGGTGAGTGACTGATCAAGCTGTTCCAAGGACAAATCCTGTTTCTGAAGATAAAGAACACAACTTAACAAAAAAATTTTACGTATTGAAGAACAGTGCCTATATCAACACCACAGCACTCAGGACTCCGGTAATAAAGCAAAAACGGTCACACTAAAAAAAATCAAAGTTGGACAATGCCGCGAGTAAAAAGCGAAACCTTTTCCTCCTTATCATTTTCTTCCTCATCTTCTTCTTCCTTATATTCGACTATGTCCTCATCATCATAATCAAAAGCGTGAAACTGTTTCGCGTTCTCTGACCATAACGGTTTCTTCCGCGGAGGTTTGCCTGATTCGTTCTCATCCAAAGATTCAACTTCTGGAGACTCCATTAACATGTCAGAAGCATCAATAAGGAGTTTCCTCTGCTTCTGTTTTCCTTGTTCCTTATTTTGTGCTGACGCCTTAAATTTTAACGAAATAAAATTCCAGAAACTGCTAGTACAGAACGATAAGAAAGTTTTAAAAAACCTAAATTCTCAAGCTAAACGGTGAAAATTAAAATTAAAATGTAAGAAAGTAAAGTAAGAATTGATTACACCTACTTCCTCTTTTTCCGACTGGATCTCTGGTTTTGACACCTTTTCAATCCCTGACAATTTTTCAACAAATTCTTTGTTAAATGGATCCCGTCCGGAAAGCGTAGCAAGGTTAAGTGAATCCTCCTCTTCAAAAGGATCCATATATTTGGATGATTTCAGCCATTCCTTCTCAACATCCTAAATTATAAGTAAAACAACAGGCACAAAATGAACAGCTAGTACAATTAATAACAGCTTACTTTACTGCTGTCAATATGTTTCTCATTATCTTCAATTTTCGTACTGGTAAAATCTGGAGATCCAATCATATCGTGCAAAGATGTTGTCATTTGCTTCATCTCACCATTCTCCCCCAATTCATCAAGTACGTATTCTCCAGAAGAAATATCAAACTGAATATAAGAATAATAACAGTCAGCAGTAAAACTTTAGCAGTTTTTCATTAAAAAACCAAATAATCTCACAAAAGTTTCACCTCTCATCGTTTAAAAATGCATTAAAGATGTCCACAGGTTTGGAAATTCTGACTGTTTTAAAATAAAGCAAAAAGAAAAAGCTAAGAAGTAAAGATTTACCGCAAAAAATTACACCAAACACTTGGCAAGGATGAGTCGAAGATACAGCATATTATTTGAGAGAAAAAACTTACGTCTTCATCTTCACCTTCTTCACCCATAACGAGAACGTACATTTCTGCGAGAAGAGCTTTCGGATTTTGAATTTTTAATTTATTTTTAGCCATCTGTGCAAGCCTAAACATCTAGTTTCAGCTCAATTGACAACAAAACGAAGTAATATAAAATTAAAAGCTCTTTCAAATAACAAACAGATAAAGAAAAAATGATTTCTTCTACTTTGCAAGATAAGACATAATGAGGAAACTTGCGACTTAACATCTGTACAATTCTAAGAAGATATAACTCAAGTATGAAGAAGAAAAGTGATTGAAAAACGGCACACAATAGGCATCTCGAGCGACTTCCAAAAGAATCAGTTAAGAAGCAGCTCGCTTATCAAATTTTGTTGACAAATCGTTTTGAAAACTCTACATAAAAATTACCTAGTTATTGACGGACGTGTCCCTACATGATTAACAGTCATAACATTCAACAAAGAAAATAAATCAGCATTTTCAGATGTTGCAGCTCCTGCAAAACGGACTACTTCGCCCAAGCAATACACATGCACAGCACCTAAAAAAT